TGTACGTATAAGAAATAAACGTAACAAAGTATATATTCATGTATCGTCACCAGTGGAAAAGTTGACGTAGACTATCTGGTAACGAAGTTAACAAATAATTGCATTTACGAGGAAATTCAAAGCAGACTAAATTTAGAGAATAGTAACCACAAATGCTTTAAATTCTTCTGCCTTCCCGTCTCCTGTCTGAAAAAGCGAAATGTTTAAATTATTGGGAGAATAATTGTTTATAAGAGGGATGAAGTTACGGAAAAATTGAAAAAAAATTACATAGTGAGGAACTCCGTGTGTGACATTTGAAGTTTTCATGGCGGCGAGGATGATGCTATTCTTGGATTATGGTCCTGAAGATGGAGTAAATATGTTTCTCCGAAACGTTGGCATTTACCTACGAGTCTACACGGTGTTGAAACCCAGAAAAATTATCAGAAACTTAATTTGTAATCTTCTTAAAATATTAATATAACATTTACCATATAAGGAGGATACATATAGAGAACGAAGAAATAAGAAATGCGTACAAATGTCTGGTTGAAAAGCCTGGAGGGAAGAGGTTAGTCTGAAGACCTAGGTATAGATGGGAGGATACTATCAAAATGGACCTAAGGCAAATAGGGTCTGGAGTGTAAATTTGAACCATCTGGCACAGGAAATGGGTCTGTGGTGGGTTCTTTCAAAAATAATCGGCCCTAATGAACCTTTAGATTCCACGTAATTCGACGTGCATTTGTCGATAAAGAGTAACAAATTATCCTGATCTGTATAATGCCACCAGAATATATTTATCCAGCTTATTTGTATATCCTAAAAGTTTATTTAAACTCTTGAGAAGGGATAAATACAGGAGTATTATAATTTGCAACATGCATGTATGTGAATAAGTTAATCTACAGACTGATGCATGTAGCAACCGCCAGCGTCTGCCACGCTTTAGGTGGCCAGTTTCATGTATCAGCAGTAGGGTGGAGAACGGATACGCCCATTACACATCCGTTACATTGTTCTGGCTTATCTCTCGCTGTACTTTCACTCGGAAATCAAGACTGCCGTTAGCAATTAATGCTCGTAAACATTTCGAAATTTCAGACTAATATCTTCCTCCTTTAGCATTGACTGTCCACCCGATGATAGTTCGCTTGAACCGAAATATGTGATGGAAACAAATTGTACCAATCTGATACTGAGTAATATTTACCAACTTGACTTGTTTGGATGTTTATATTAATCCAATTTTATGCGTATACTAACACCAGTTTTATTTTATTGTAAAACTGATAATAAAAACGGGCAGAAAAACCACTACATAACTATTGCAGACAAAGCTAACAAATTTAAACAATGAGAGACAGGTGTTAAAAAATATTCCTTACGATTTAAAGTTACCGGATTTGGCATAGTTTAGTCGAAGACACACCCAATCATTTATCTACTTGTTCCATACAGATGCGGTTCATAAAGGAGGAATATATAAACATATATAACGTAAAAAGTGACCGACGGTAGCTGAGTTTTGGACGCATCTGCGCATCTATCACGTGCCCTCGTGAACCAATCAAGAAGCTAGTGTATAAAGTATTCAGTCAATTGATGCGTGAAGCAGATGCCATTTGTATCTATCTTCTGAAATCTGCGCTACCCGCCTTCGTTCGCATCTTTCACATTCGGAAGATTAAAACACGCCATCTGCATTAAATGCAATCACAGCACTGGAGGAACATTCTCGACGTCAATTATATAGGCGTATAGAAGGAAAACAATCTCGATTCCCACAACTCGTTTGATAAGTTGTTTACTGGCCTTGACAGCAATTTCCACTGTCCGATGGAGCTCCGGGGAAATGAGATTGCTGCACGTATAAGCATTACCATAAGACACGATCGCAATGGTGCAGAGATGTATCGAAAGATGGTACTTATGGCGTGTGACACGTGTTTACATCGCAATTGGATGTTGCTAGGGACCCAGTGTTGAAGCACTATGGTACTTGCAGAATAACGTGACGATGGAAACTGATGAATCCAAGTTACGAAATATGCTACCTGTTTGTATTCAGTAAAGAATTTTACTGGATAGGTCTTGTAAACTAAATATAAAATTGTTCTGATATATTGCAGTATCGTGACCAAGTCTACGAAATTATTCAAACATTTTATTATATTCAATACGTCTCTTCGATGTATAGTGTTCCATAAGTCAGGAGCAGTAGGAGAACTCCATTATTTGGCAAAATATAGGATTTTTTTAAAAAAGAGACACCATTTTTGCAAACCTTGTGTTTGTAATCTCGTGTGTCAGATTTTTTACCTAGGAAGAGCCATTAGGGCGCAATAATATTTATATTATGACTAGCAAAATGTTACGACGATGTCATGTTGACATGACAGCGAAACGGATTGTGTTTCCAGATTAATACATTTAATTGCCTGTTTAATATTTGAAACTACTCAGTTAATATTAAAGCGTTAAATAAATGTTCTGCTCTGAAATATAAGCCAGTGTTTCTTTATGTTAGTATTACAACTAAAACATATGACAAGAGATATGATTAACAGTAAATTCAATAACCTTTACTAAAACCGTTGCAGCAAATGCACGAATCATAGTTTCAGAGTTGCTGGTCCCGCATGAATGCTGTAAAGGTTGATGCCCTATGTCGGTGATGCGCAACTGGTGTGCCGCGGAGGCATCTAGGTGTGCCACGAAATTTTTACCCTCATATTATAATTATAACCATAATGAGATAAATAACTCTTAACCTTGTTTTCTGCTCTGTCTCAGTTTTAATTTCCTTCATTATGATCGGGTAGACTGAGGACAAACAAGATCTACTAAATGGAATTGGAAACCAACACAACCACTTTGCAGCGAAACATGTGTATTACCTCCTCTTTACTTTTATTGTCACTCTATGTATTTTTCTGCGATCGACATGTAAAAATATGATTAAGTATCTTTAAGTTTGAATGTTAATAAATTTTGGATCAAAAGGTGGGAAATATTATATTTTAATTTATTTTTAATAATGAAATATTTAAAATAAATGACGTAATAATAAAGATGGATAATTATGAACGTTAAATAGAAAGTATTTCGGTTGGGGTCGATTTATAAGAAGTTGTCACGGCCAATCAATGCCATAAAATCTCCCCCCCCCCCCGATATGCAAAATGGGGTTGTTGTGCCGCCATGACTCTTGTGGAGAAAGGTTGCGCAACACTGCCCTATAAAATGATAAAGTGACTGTTTTCAGAACTCATACAGAAAGGAAACATTTCACTTCGTCTAACACTTAACGACGTAACATTTGAGATGATATTCTTGGTTGTTGCTGCGTGCAGTAAGCTATTTGCCAACGCTTCAGAAGAACATACTGCCTCAATCATTTTTAGTATGTCTACTGATGATGGAAGCAGTATGTACCTCTGAAACATTGGCAAATAGCGGAACACTTTGGAATATCGTCTATGCACTTAACGATGTTCATAGTTCCAAAGAACAACTGAACGACGAAATGCTTATGACAAAATAAACTCGGTTTAAGCTTTATTATACTGCTTTCCGTAAGCAGTAAAATGGACGTTACTGGGAATTGGACATGTGCCGTTTTTCGACCAACACCCCCCGCCCAAGTTACGTCTCGGTACATGCTTGCTTAGATGCTGTATTCACTCAGCCGAAAGTTTAATGACATTTCTTTGTTACGTCACAATATTCATTCTTGTAGTACATTTTGTCAATTGAACAGCAACACTTAAAAGATTTCTGACTATAGAAATCCGCGTTATATGAAGCGTGCGTCTGTGAGAGTAAAAGACGAATAATTTCAGAAATAAGTCCAACGGTAAACCGTCCAGGAACTCAGAACATTGAAGGAACATCTTTTAAATTTAAAATTCGTATACGAAGAGGTAAAATTAATTAAAACATCAACATGTAAGAAGAAATTATATGGAATCGTGGATACTCCTTTAAAAAATGAGTGTTAATTGGCAAAAATATTATCATCCCTTTCTGTACTTACCGGTATTTACACGTCTTACAAGAAGTTCCAAGTAAATTATTAATTCTAGTAATGTAAATTAAATATCGTGTTACTTGAAAATAATATACTGAATTTAGGTGCAGTAGTTACCACATCTTCTTTCGTCTCTTCGTATTCGAATCGAAGACGATTTGTTTTTCCGGGGTTTTTTCCTGGTCTCTTCTCACTAGCGATTCTCAAACTTTTAAAGATGGCTGTCTTCCGCGTTGTTACTCCACGTAGTCCGGTAGAAGTTTTCAGACATTTCATATATGCTTGCTGCCTCCATCATCAGGACCATACATAATATTTGCCGCCGTGAGAGCCTGAAATCTTATTCAAACCTTTACTCGCGTATTTAACGACGCTTTCAGTAGCACAAATTACATAGCGTCGAACGAGATAATGATAATGAGTAATAAATATATGATGTGGAAGGAAGAGGTCGTGACCTAATTTATTACCCCGGCATTTGCCTGGAGGCACTGAGGAAAACCACGAAAACCTCAGTCGGGATAGCCGCTTTCCGGGTTGAAATTTGATCTCGGGGCCTCCCAAATACGAAGCAGGAGTGATAACCACTCGATGAAGACGTTCAGTGCAACCCCCTTCATAATCACAGCTCTATGCGAGTGACTAGACTGTCACTTGTCACTTGGCCTGCTCGTTCTTGGAAACAGTAACTCAGCAGTCGTATTGTTCCTTCGTAAAACCCACTTGGGACACGTAAACGTAGATAAAAGACGTGTTTGAGAGTATGGACTGAATTCATCTGATCAGGCTCAAGATATGGTCCAGTGACGGGCTTATGCGTACACGGTAAGGAACTTTCGGGGTCAGTAACAGTTGGATAACTTCTTGACTAACTGAGTGACTATCAGTTTCGCAAGAAGCAGTCCTGGAAGTTTTATAGGGTGAAACTATTTAAAGCAACTCTTGCAGCAACTTAAACCTTTTAAGAAAGATCGACAGTTTTAAGTGGCTGTTAAAACATAATTAAATAATGACGTTTATTTTCTCTGATGAAACATTCATTTTATATACACTCATTTTACAGCACAAATACATTTACGAAACTTCGCATCCATCTCATTCTATACACCACACTTCCATCTTGACAGCTAGTTTGTGAACAAAGGGAAATTTTTAACTGAAGTGACATTTTCATATACGTAATATGTATATTGCGAAGTCGTTTATGACGTATTCTATCTGTAGGAGGTAAGGGACGATGTAAAAGCAGTACACACTTAGGAATATCCAATACTAAACACTCCAATGCTAACAACCACTCAAAAATATACTTAGGGTTTCAACAACTGCAAAGCATGATGTATAATTGAACTCCGGACGGTTGGAGTTAGGTTATTATAAGTGCACAGTAAGTCGGCTACCTTTTCTGTTCTTTGTTTCGTCGAAATACCTTGGCTAACTCGTTAATTCTAAATGTTAATTGTTTATTTATAGTTTATTTCAAGACGCTTTCGCTGATGTGATGATGGCGAATAATAAATCGAAACGGATATGGATGGAATCGGCAGTGGCGTAATTTAAGGTAATATCCTAGAGGTGCTGAGGAAAACCACGAAAAACCTCAGTCAGGATAGTCGGTCTGCAGGCCGAGATTTGAACCCGGGACATCCAACCAACAATAAAACTACGACGTTTGGTGGAATAAAAGTTGTAGACTAGTAAAAATTTATAATGTAGAAGATTATTAAGATGAGATTACAGAGACTGGCAGTAACAACACAGAACAAGGCCAACAAGGATGTAAAGAATGTCTAAGGGCGAAGGGCAGAAATGTGAAACAATTTTCTGCAAAATATGAGAATCCAATCTGTGGTGAACATAAGAAATTATTCCGAATGTCATTAAAACTAAGTTACGTGTTTCGAAGAGTCAAGAACAGAGCAGCTGTTTTCCTAACTAGTAAAATTCCAGAAAGTACTGAAAAACAAATGTGTTAAACCGTTCTGATGTTTGTCTTTTCGTTAATTAACATTTATATGTTAAATAAATTTTGTATTTCCCTTTCATTTTCCTATGTAATTACAAATTTTTATTGGGCTATAAATAGGCGCAACCTACACAGTCAAAAGTTTGTAAAAATTTTATATCAAGACTAAACATGTTTAAACGTGACTGAAACAGACTGACAGCCTGACCCAGTATTTGAACTAATATTTTACTAACAGAGAAAGAAAGGCTTAAACACTATTAAAAAACATTAAATAACTTCGCAGATGAGTGGAATATTGTCAGGTATAAGCACATTTGCAGTATTCTGATGCAGATAATTATTGTGAAAAAGTTGGAGTGATTATATTTTTCTCCGCAAATTCATTGATACTGAAAAAGGAACGCTGACAGTTAAATTGTTAATTTTCATTTTACACAATGTTTTACCCCAGATTTCGACTTCTTCAATGTTAAACAACTTTTAAGTTTTTGATAAAATCAGCATGAACAAACGCATATTTATAAAACTGGGAATCCTAAAACTACTGTGAGCGAGAAAAGAAATTGTCTTAATATTTGTTTTTATAAAAATTTTATCACCAAAATATGCAAGTGCGCAATCTGGATGTTTTGAAGCCTGTATATTATTATTTTATTGAAACCAACGCAAAGATTGACAAATTATTAGGCTACCTATACTCCAATATTTATTGATTTCTGACAGGCTGATATTGTCGGAACTAATATTTTGCACAAATAAATCACTTCAATAGGTCCGCATCGGCACAGCATGAAACGTAAATATGGCTATGCGTCTTTGTTAAACGTTTTGCATAATTTTTACTTTATTAAAAAATGTTCGAGTCAATTCTTGCAATTCGGCAACAGATTAGTTTATGAATACGTGTAACTTTTAAGGTCTTCTGTCGAAATAATTCTTACATTTTCAAAAGTGACGTTACCGATAATCTTGACTACAAAAATAAAAATTGACTCACTGAAACTTGGTATTATATTCCACAAAACACATCCCATTTCTATGTAGAACCCATTCCGAGTCTTAAAATTCAAACGAAATAAATTGGACTTTTAGTGTTACGTGTTAAAACATGGGGTTTCAGGAGGCCAAAGCTTTCGGAACTAACGAGCTGGTGGTCTGAGAGTTTAAAAGAGCTGGACTCCGCAAAGTCTTAGAGCCCGATTTCAACGATTCTCTCGAGAATATGTGATGAGAAATTTAATGTAAGCATTTGGTAAATAAAACCAGAGACGTATCCCACGAAACCTGACAAGCATGCCTGATGACGAGAATACTTGGTTTCGAGTAGAAATTTCCTCTGCTCATGATATCAGGCCGTATGTATTCCAAGACTGCTGCCGTCTGGCCGCTGGGTCACCATTCTACCACACGCGGTCATGATTCACGATGCAGCACGTGACAATTACAGTTTGTATGACTGACGCATCATCAAGTCAAAGTATGTGTCATTGTCGATAGATGCACTGATTCCAGCGTAATAGTTGAGGAATTCCTCCTGCGTCACCTGGAAGCATCACATAACAATGTTTTAAGCCAAATAGTGAAGAGAAATACTAAGTTGTGCTGGAATGTGGGCCAATTTCAACGCATCTTTAACCTTGGCACAACGTGGAGATAGCCAAAAACGCGATAACAATAATAATATTATTATTTACTTAATTTATTTAAATTAGTATTACAAATATACTGATGTATTCAGCAGTAATTTGCCTTTGTGTATTAATGTGTTATGCACTCATGTAATTTTTGATAATATCTTTGTCGCTACCTTTTTATATTTATTTTTGTGCTTGTCGTCTCCTGTGCTGTATCTGTAATTGGCCTTCTGGCTGTTGATACAGCGCACTAATAATAAGGAATTCAATTCGGTGTTCTGTTGGACTACAAGCTCTATTTTCACCAGAAAATTAACTACGTATTTTCAAAACGTTTAAAAATGGGTTTGATTCCTTACAATACTACACCTCCACTCTTGATTGACTTTTGGTTTTTTTTAGTAAACTCATTCATTGCAAGACTGAGTAAGCATTTGTTGCCTGGAAGGCTATTATAATTACTGACTCGTCTAATCACGAAAGAATTCAATGGAAATTTGCAGTTGTCTATTACACCAGATTTTTTAATAGCGTATGTGACTAAAATATGACGACGTTTTAGGTAGATTAGACATTTTAACACTACATTTAACGAAGAAGCACAATTAGTTACTAATCTCTTTTGCAAACTGTTAGTCTGTGCATAACCATTAGGTCACTCGAGGGCTACTGATATCTTTGACAAGGGTTTAAATTGCTTACGGATATTAGTTTTTTTATTAATACATATTTCTCTTATATCTCTTAGGTTTTCTGCCGTCTTTAATTGCCTTTTTTATTTTAGTGCTTGAATGTAATTAGCTTTTCAGCGGTTGTCAAGCACGTTAAAATTGAATTATTATGACCGTCATTACTCTCGCCACTGATGGCCAGATTACCTTGCCATCTCTGGTAATCTCGTCCTTCTCGAAATTGTTGAGGAACTTGTTAAGAATCTGCTCCTCTGTCTCCTCCCCGCTCATGTACCGAGGATTCATCTTAACAGAGTACACCCCTTTGAGGTCGTCTATAGTAATCACTCCATCTCCAGTTTTGTCCAACTTCTTAAAAGCATCACTGATCACTTTCAGTCGTGAGTTGGACATTGGAGGCTGAAAACATTTGAACTATTATATTTCGTACATCCTCGCATTGCAGTTTTCATGGTTTGAACACAGACTTCTCCACACGGCAAACACAGATGACATGAACGCTCCACTCCTGAGCCCATAAATACGTGGGTTAAGTAGGCGCAATATCAGTGTTTATTTATTTATAGCTTATTTAACGACGCTTTTCACTAGCTCAGACTATATAGCGTCCAATGAGATTATGATAGTGAATAGGAAATGATATGAAAGGAAGCGGTCGAGGCTTAATTTAACTATCCCAGCATTTCCATGGAGGGACTGAGGAAAACCCACGAAAATCCCGGTTAGCCGGTCTCCGGGCCGATATCTGAAACCAGGACCTCCCGAATACGAAGCAGGAGTGTTAACCACACGGCCTCGACGTTAATATCCGGGTTAAGCCGAAACTTACCCTACCAGGAAAAGTTCTAAGTCTGTTGTGAATCTGTTATGAACTTGTTTTACTATCCCAGCAGAATCTCGGCTTTATATCGACTACAAGACACTCTGCACTCATTATTTTGTTGTTCATATAATTAGAAGACGTCGTGATGGAAATTCTATTGTCTTCCCAATTAAGGTTTCTGATATCTTGTACTGGAGACTGAGACTTGTCATACATGAATTTCAACAAACCAAGATGGCATGCTGCTTACTGCGTCATTGCAGCAGTTTGGACGTCACGAATGACTTCGTGAAATGACTCGTCTCTCATCAATGTGCTGGAAGAAAGGACACTTCAGCACCGCGTCCACCTACATCCTTATTCACGAGCACATTTCATCATCCAAAACGTATTTAACCTATACCATTAAAAATTACCATATCAGTAATTACACCCAACAGAATAATTATTTTAAGTAGTTCTAATAAGGTACTTTTGTCAACGTTCCGCTATTATTATAAATAACTTTTTTTAATGCGGCCACTGTGGCATGTCTCTTAGTCTGATCTGAGAGTCTGAAACGGTGTTATCTGCCCGGAAATGATAACGTTCTGCAATTCCAGTCGTAAAACAAGACATATTTCATGCTCGAAGACAAATTTTGGTACAGAAACGACAGTATCAAACAACAGTTCATTTAAATGCACCTCCATTTCGGGAAATACTTGTGACCATTCATTTCGGACTCATTTACCAGTCTCCTATCTAATAAGATTTAAAATGTGTACTCTTTGGAGCACATTAAAATTTCAAAGGGGTTCTTCACGCCAGTCAGCTACATTAATTAGCCTATAAGATGACACTAATAAGTTGTCTGCGAAGGTCAAAATCTACTGGCGAATTCTTGGACTATTTAACGATGCCGTATCAGCTGCGAAATGATATGTAAAATCACATGGGAGAAAATATAAATATGCAAGGATTTAATCTGTATGGTGAGGCCAACAGTAACCATGAACTGGTATTTATGCATTTTGGTTAGTCTTTTTTCACAGTTAACTCTAATATAGATTTCAACTACGTTAATTTTTCCAGACATAACCCAAACATTTCATCCTGTCGCCATATTTGTTTTTAATGCCATAGTAAAATTAGTCCATGGAGAGTCTGCGATCTACGTGCATGTAAAATGTCACACATTTCTCCAGTGGTTAACTAATTACCAAACAGAACTATCCATCCTGAGGATGAGAGCAGAGATTGCTCTCGAAACTTGGGCGGAAGAAATGGTTCATTCACTATTAAGCCACCTGACGCGGTTTATTGCCCGAGAGTCTTTCATCAACTTCGGTCGTCGCGAAAGCTTCACTTTATACAAATCTGTCTTTACTCATAAACTAAGAAAAGCATGGCGCCTCACCCTAATGGCTAGAAGGAACTCGTCCATGTCTATGCTACCGTTCCCGTCCTTGTCGAAACGCTCAAACAGTTCCTTTGTCTCCCCTTCGTCCAGTTCCATTCCCGTGTCGTTCATTCCTTCCGCGAATTCTTCCAGATTCAGCGCCTTGTTGCCGTCATCGTCCATACGTCGAAATATCCTGAAATGAGGAAATAGGAAACACGGGAGGAATTTCCAGAATTTAAATGACGTTATTAAATGCATTTTAATACAGAAGATTTACGATGCGTGAATGTATGCGTGTGTGAATGACGTAAAAACCGCAAAGTAAACACATGAGTAAGAGTTGTAAAAATTCTGACCCAACGCATAAAGTAAACAGTAAGTTACAGGTTTCGTTGGTGCTTAAATTTCACGTACCCCATAAAATGTCTTCGCGTACCCCCGGAGGTACACGTACCCCAGGTTGAATACCACGGATCTAAATGAACAAACTTTCCATTCTGCTGAACACTTCCTGAAAACGAGGCGTAAATATATCTTGTTCCTTTAACGTGAATGTGCTGGGTAGTGTCTGACTCTTTTAATGAGATTAGAAAATTTACTATCAAGATTGTAAATTACCCGTATGTCAAAGGAACTAAAGATACGGGCCTTTAGTGTTATTCAGCAGTGTTAAAGAAAATTGATCACGATACTAAACAAAATATCGCACTAGAAAATATTGGCAGACTATAATATATTCTGATGAAATTAGGAAGACTTAAATATATCGTGGGGGCTAGAATAAATATCGTGTATGGAGCAGAATAAAAATAATAACAAGAGCTCAGCACCTCGAACTCCCGATTCCCTGATCTGCTTGAGTAATTACGAGTAATTGCTGCAACTGAATATACTTTAAATCGGGAATTAAGGTTAGCTTCATCCAATAGACCCTAAAGATTAGAATTTATGCTTTCACTTAATGACAGAAGCAGAACCAAATTCATAAACGTTGTGTGATATTTAATCAACAGACGAAGGGAAATATCCAGTAACATAAGTTTAAGCTTTAAAACTATTAATTGTTCAGTCAACCAATCGACTTTTGATGGAAGAATAAAAAATTTGAACATCGCAAATATCACAGTCCGCCAATGGACAGAATTGCTGAGCTAGTTCCCTCCACAAAACTCATCGCCATAGGATTTATCATAATGCTATTCACAAATCTACAATTCTCTCATGCTAGAGAACGTTTCTCATGAGCTTCCAAATCAGAATTTTATTTGCATTCCTTGTGTCACTCATCTTACTGAAATGCTCAAATCATTGTAGTCCTCTGTATTTCTGTCTCAATTACGCGTAACCTGTAAAAAATAACAAAGTTCGTCGTAGTGGAAGATCCTGAATTACTCACTTAATTCATCGGTTGATATTATAATTACTATTAGGCAAAAAATTTTCTTAAACTAACATTTCATTAAGCATTTTCGATCAAATAAGACAGGAACTTCATCTAAGATCATTTCTCCTCCTTCCGCCAATAAAATTCCAGCAACAAGAAACATTTCTAATACCTCCATATCGGCTTCAGAACGTTCGATAGAAAAAAATTACCGAGTGAATATAAGAACACTAAGAATAAAATACAAATTCAATTTCTAATTCAAAACCACATTTTTCCCGTTGCCGGCGCTCAAGTTGCTGTGTCCTTATGGCAGTTCTGCTCACCTGCCAAGTCCCATGATACCCGTTGTCCCTCGAGACAGACATAAAAGACGAAGCTTCTCCACTGGATCTTTGACCATTGTCATCTGCCGTTTCGCCTTGTCTACCATTTCGGCTTCCTGGCGCGCATTTGCCGACTGTGGCCTGTTGTACATTCCTGAAATATACAACAACAAAAATCAGAAACGTGTAGAATGTCGAAAGTGGCAGGCTCCTAATGCGTTTGGCATGTGATCATAGTCAGGCCTTCATGACAGTTCATAATAATTACGAAGTAGCCTCGTTTAGTGTCTGTTTTGCGATTACTTTCGCTGTATTCTACAGACTGACAAGGACACTGTTGTAGGAAGCAATGCAGAAGAGTAACTAAGTCTTGTGTGAAGATAAATTTGACTAAAAGCAACTGATGGCCTTGTCAATGCGTGTTATACGTTTTTTACACTCAGTATACAAAGTAAACCCATTATGAGAATGTCAGAATGTCATGTCTGTTCGTGTGTTTGTTTAATCTCCCATTATAATTGGCTGATTACAACGGCATTTTGTACAGAGGATCTCCATAAAGAATATGACTGTTCGTATCTTTTGAGTTTTGAGGTAGGAAAGAACTATTGTAAGCTGACAGGTAAAACTTATTTGGTGTCAAGTTATAGAGTCTACCAATATTGACTAAAATTCCGTTTGTGTCAAAGAATACAACACGTCAACTAAGCGAACCTTCTGTTTTAATGATTGCATGGAGACAGAAGCCAGCTTTCAGTGGGTTAAATCCCAATATCTTCGTTGTATGTTGCCTTATGATTTTATTATAGAATGAAATTAGTGTTCTACCGTGATACCGGAGTGGGGGGTGGGGGGTTAACGCGGCCGGAGCTTAATGTTAACTTGAGTTTACGCACACAGTAGACAATACCTGTAATGTCGAAATTGTATCGATGTTGCTTGTATTCATAGAATAGAATATATCGTTTGTTGTTTGGACAGGCTTTTCACGCTGTATCTGGCTTCCCATGCTCGCTCGAAGGATTTCCCTCAGCGTAATGAGGACACACAGCTATGTGTAGGCTATTGTCTGCTACTTCATAATGAGGGCCGAATATAGTCATTATTGAAATTGTATGTAATTCTGAATTACTTGGACGATACAAAAATTACACAGCGGGTCATCTGGAAAGCAGTCCAACAATCATGTACTATGACATAAAAACAAAATCAGAAGTAGGTTCGCCCCAATAAAATACTCCTTGAACCTCTCCCGTTGACACTCGAGTCAAGGTCACCCTAGTTGCCAGGTCGCTGCTCACGCAAAAGATGTTCTGCTGGTACTTCCGGCAAATACAAACTAAAACAAATCGCTTGCATTTTTATACATTACAGTGTCACCAAAAACACTGATGAGAACAAACTTGAAAATAACAAATTTAGAAACTTTTACTCCGAAATGTAGCAAACATTTTTGACCTTGTTTCCGCCCACTCAGCATCCTTTCCCGGGGGTAAAGCGCGGCCGGGGCGTGACGCTGACCACTTACTCCCATCTAGTGCCGTAGTTAAGAATTAGTCCCCCCCCCCCCCCCCCCTCATCTCACCGAAGCGACTGCATGCGTGTAGCGGGACAGCGTTGTTCTTTTTTTTTTCCAGGAAATAGTAGCTAGTAATTTTGGTTGCACAGGAACAGGAAGCCCGGTTGTACGTAACCCGTCACTTGCGAGTCTATTGATCGACTCAGTCTACTGACCGATATTCGACGGCCGGTATTGAGCGGAAGTGAGGCACAGTGCGGATCGATAAGTAGGCCTCTAAGACATCAATTCATTTACCGACTCGCCCGCCCACTGTCTCGCTTTTGTTAGACAAACAAATGTTTTTTCAAATAGTATAGGCAATTTTCAAAATTTATGACCAGACAACATTGTCCTGAAACCAAATGCATTAATACATTTATTATCTGTGTTGAATGCTCCTGTCTGACTAGCAATTTTGCACTTCAAAACGACCTTACTTCTACACCAGTGTACCGCGAATTTTTATAATAAATTTTATATTCGCACGTTTCATTATAAAAAAAACAATATATTATCTTTGGAAATTACAATCGGAAAACACACACATACACAGGTTCATCATCGGTAGTTTTATTAAACATATATTATTTGTTATTGTATGCCTGCATTCTTAAAGAGAAAGGATTTATATATATAGACCTATATTTATAGCCATGTATAGTTTCGTACCACCTTTTCGTGAGTCGAAATTTTGTGGCGTGCGTTACTTGTCTTTGACGAATTAGGGTGTGCCACGAGTGAGCAGATTGCGGAAATCAACGAAACCAAGCTTCGCCAAATATAAATTATCACAGTAATTCACATCAATTAATATAAGAACTATTATTCCGCTTTCCTTGTTTTACAATAAAATACAGACTTTTATTTGAACATGTCCGTCTGTGTATGCATGAGTCAATAAAAGATGGCAATTATTGTTTTTAACAATCAGAAGTGAAATTCTGTGAAATTTAAATTCATAAAGGTTACTCGTACCTAAGAGTACTGGCATATTTAACGATTACACATGTTAATTTTACTAAGTATGTTTTGTGCGAAAAATATAAAATGGTCCCTCTAAATTGTGTGTTTACGATGGGACATTCTCACAGCACTACCCCTTTAAACCAATCGTTCTCAGTAAAATTACAAAATAGCTACACAGTGACACAGAAGACATGTATTGGCCTATTCTACAATAAACTCGCGGCATCTGTACGCATACACAAAGAAAACACCGAAGAAATCAATAAGTATAAAGAAACACGAAGTGTGTTCGAACTGGGTACAACCGATAATACACGTGCTACATTCAGTCTAGTCGCTTCTCCACCCCCCACCCCCCCCGGGGGGGGGGGGGAGATTTCTGGAAAAAAAATTGGCCAAACGTTTTCGTGTTGATAACACTAAATTTTCAATGTACGATACAGTATTTCCGGTAAGGTTCGCCCTCTTTTTAATACATGCCCATACAAAGACCATGAACTGCACTAATTTACAAGAAGCTCTCATAATAAACTGGGAATGTATCAAATTTGATACTTTTAACGAGGAACCTTGATTAAATTAGAACAATACAATTAATAAACTTACTTTTGGAGGGTTTCATGTTTCTTGCTGTGTGTGTGGCCATGAGACGGTGTATGACCCAAAGGGAAAAATATAAATTGACGGTGTTTAAGAACAAAATTCTGAGGATAATATTTTGACCTAACAGAGAGGAAGTGATAAGAGGACAGAAAAAACTGCATAACGATTAGCTCTATAATGTGTAATCTTCACCAAATATTGTTATGATGATCACATCAAGGAGTTAGTAATACAGCACAAAACAATAGATTTAACAACAACAACAACTTACTATGTGACGTAATCTGTTGTCTTTTAGGCATCATGTTATTATCAACTGAACACTGCAGAATTTCAACAGAAATGGCAGGAAGAGTTATCACTGAGAATATCCAAACTGCTTCATTGTGTGCTCATATCAGAAACACTTTGCACTGAAACACGGTCGACATTGTGCCACATGCGAGTATAGTAGTTATGCAACCAGTCTCACATTCATCGGCAGATGAACTAAGCTACGTGGGTCGTTCCTACCCCTGACGACGGCTCGACGTTGGCCCGGCCATTCGCCTGCGATGTAGGCAGACCAGCAGAATGGGCGGTGTCAACAGGACCCTAGTTCATTCACCCTCCTCACACCCCAGATGAAAATCTTCATTATAATTGTTTTTTCGGCGCATTCCAAAATTGCATTTATATATAATTTATTTAACGACGTTGAAAATACCCCAGATTATATAGCGTCTAATCATACAATAAGCGAATAATGATTTGGAAAGGATGTGGAAGTGGTCATGGCCTAATTTAAGGCAGATAATATTCCGGAATTTGTCTGAGTAACTAAATAAAACGATGGAAACACTCAGACAGCATAGCCGGTGTCCGAACCGGGATATGAAAGCGTGGCCTCCCGACTACGAAGCAGAGATCCGAACCACTCGGCCGCGACGTTCGATAAAATAAATAGAACTACAGAAACGTGTATTTATTAAACAGATCGACGGTTACTTTTATTATTAGGTGATGATGTAAATTAATTTCATGGAGCAGTGTACTTCTCGTAAAGGTCACATCTGAAATTATTAAATAAGTCCCCGATTTTATAAGAACTCAACATTCACTACCGTCTTCATTAATTCCAGCCACTGGGTCCTATCTGGAGACAATGCCTGGCACTACAGCCCTTTTGTAGGGCCTTAGCCTCCCTGTAACCTGAATCTACTGACACAAATACAAACAATTCAGTGTGTTTCTTGCAGCTCTCTAACTTTTATATTAATTTAAAATGAGAGAAGTTCCCTGTCGCCAGCGTTTCCACTGAACCAGAAAACAACACGATCAAACGACCTATAAGACCAGAATCTAACCTCACATCGCCATGAGACCTCAAAACTTAAAGCCAACTCGTTATTACACTACACTGCATTTTGACCAATATGGCGCAGTGCTACCTACTTTAACAATCAATAATTCTGAATTTTGTACGTCTTTCTGTGATGGGCCTATTAATTTTTAATCATATAATGCCTTGTTATAAAACCACCATTAATGATAGTTTAATTATACACAATAAAATGTAAAAGACGTGTTATACAAATTCAGATTGTGCCAATTCCTTCAGCCTGTCAATTTTCTTGTTGTGCTGGCAGCAGCGGCAATTCTGACAATTTAATTGACTGTACATCATTTTAGTAATAATCAGAATGTAACAAGTTTTGTGAATGAACCTTTCAATTAGGTCTACTCGGATATTGATTAAAGATTCTAGCTGCGCATGAGCCCCTTCTCGAAGGTATCACCACCTTGTCGAAGGCAATCTGCCGGGTGAGGAGGCTTGCGTGCTCAAATGACCCTTAGGGCTATGCCGGCCTGAGCTTCGGCTCATGGTAGGGTCACCCAAGCCGGACAGGTCTAAGGAGATGCGCTAGACTAAGAGTGATACCCTGGTCCTCCAGGTTGGGGGTTGGGTGTAGGGCTAACAACCTTTCACCTTTAAAAAAAAATATGTGTTACGAAAAAAATCAACCAAGCCTCGGATCAGGACGGACTCTTTGGCACGACCACGGCAATTGAAAAAGGACATGAGATTTGGTAC